CCCTACAGGGAACAAGTCAGACCTTGGCGAGCTCCGGGAGGTCCCTCTGGCTGAGGCACAGAGCCTGGCAGAGCACTATGACATCCTGTGTGCTATTGAGACGTCTGCCAAGGACTCGAACAACGTGGAGGAGGCCTTCATAAGGGTGGCCACGGAGCTGGTCATGAGGCACGGGGGCCCTCTGCTCAGTGAGAAGAGCACCGACCACATCCAGCTGGATAGCAAGGACATTGGAGAAAGCTGGGGCTGCGGGTGCTGACCGGCATGCAGGGCTGGCAGGCAGGGGCCTCCCCACTTGCTTTCTCTCTGGCCTGCCAAGCCCAGCACTCAAAAGCTGGACCTCCAGGGTACCAGCAATTCTAGAGCAACTGGATAAAGTTCTAGAATTATCCATCCCATGGCCTGAATGCTTGATCAGAAAGCTACCCCAAGGAAGGAAGAAGCGGGATTCCTCCTGCAGGAGGCCTGTTGGCACAGGGTAGGTTATGGGGCCCATCCTGTCAGTCAACGGCTATTCCTCCACGCTCTTTACATACCAGGGCTAGCCCAAGCCTGCCAGTGTGGACTTGCCAGTGTGGACCACAGTGGGAGAGGGGTCAGGAATGTGCCTCCCCTGCTCCACAAGTACTAATTCTGTCCATTTCACACCTTGTATCTGCTGTAGCTATGGCAGCAGGTTGCTGCTTTCCAGGGAAGTGGCTGGTGCCCAAGGTTGTCCCAGGTCATTCCAGGGCCTCCTTATTTAGCTGCAGAGAGCAAGAGCAACCAACCCAACAGACTAAGACTGGTTCCTGAGCACAACCCTAGGGATCCCTTAAATCCAGGTGAGGAACCTCTCTTCACTGCCAGCTCTAAGCTCACAGACAGCATTGGGCCCAGCTCACTAGCTTAGCAAGACCTCTTAAGTTTTCTGGTTTTCCACGTAGCTTTTTGTTTTCTTCTATACAAATGTGGGGTCATGGCCCACAGCCAAGCGGGGAGTGTCTGCTGTCTTGGGGCCCAAAGTTTTGCCGTTCAGATTGTAAAACCAGCTAATTCTTCAGTACCAGCTCTCAGAAGCCTGGGGATAGGGGGAATGAGATAGGAACATGGACATTTAAGGGAAAAGTAAAAGCCTACATCTTTGAGGCTCAGGTCTAGGAAGTCCCTCAGTACACCCAGTATTACCCCATGTGCAGAAATCTTTCCTGCCATGTTCAGTGTCAGCTCGCTCATTGCTCCCACTCTAGCTTATAGTTTCCCAAACAAAAAAGGCAAGGCCATGGAAATCCTGGGTCTGCCCATTTCACTCCCCTAGGCCCACCTGCCCTCAACAGCCTCAGTGTGCACTGAGTGCTGAGGTTAGAAGGCAGGTTGAGGCTGAGATCACTGGGGGCCTTGGAAGCAGCACCAGTCTCTGTGGAGTGGCTCAGAGGATCATAGGGGTTGGACCAGGGTAAGCCAGTGTTCTTCCCAAGCCAATCCCAGTCTCTCCATTCAGCCCAGTCCAGCCCCAGAGTGGAGGCCTGGGAAATAAATTGTTCTCAGAGCCATGTACTAGGTCACATCATGGGGAGGCAGCTCAGGGCTCAGTACCAGTCCTCAAAATGGGCTGCAGGCCTCCCACTCAGACTCCCCTTGCCTTCCGTTCTAAGTACTTCGGTCTGCACTGCCCCCTCTCCCAGGCAGACTGGGCTGCAGAGCAAGGAGCCCAGACTTTTTGCAGCAGCCCCACAACAGTCTGGGGAGGCAGGGATGGGCATGGACAGCTGAGACCAAGACACACAGGGTTGGTGGCTCCCTTTCAGGCTGGGAGGCAGCCATGAAACAGCTGAGCCTGGTTCTGGAGAGGAAGGATGTTGGCCTGGTTGGGCCAGAAGCTGCTGAGCAGGGGTCTGCACTGAGGGAAATCAACCCACTGTTGGCTGGGGTAGGATGGGAGCTGGGAGCAAGACTGCCTGGTTCCCTTCCTCAGCAGCCTTGCTGATGGGACAGTCCCAGTTGCTGGGAGGGAAAGTTGGCATCTGCTTGACCCCTTTGTTGCAATGCCTGCACTCCACCTGCAGAATGGAGAGTGCCTGTCATTGAGGAGTTTGCAAAAGGGGGTTCCATTCAGGCCTAGGGCAAAGGTCCTCCAGCCCTATGATCTCTCTGCTAGGGGCTGATATTTGGGCAGAGCTAGTTGTTCAACCCAAGGCCCCAGCTGTAAAATAAATCTTATGAAGCCCTACCTTGCAGAGACCTGCTGCTTTGGGAGGTGGAGGGACATACAAGGAGTTTTGGAACAGAGGCTTGGGCCTGCACCCCTGTGATTGACTTGCAGCCCCAGTTCTGGCCAGGTACCGACCCTGCTCATAGCTACCTGCTGCCCCTCTCTACTGGGGATGGTCCTCAGCTGTCTCATAAGGCTTGGGAAAAGAGGGAGGCACTTTTACCCTCTTTTCACATGGAAGCCTTGGGCTGCCATGAGGATCCAGGGTAGGTACAGAAACAGGTAGCTGGCTGGGGCCGGATTCATTTGTCACCTTGGAATATGAGCCATCCCCCTTTTTCTCCCACCCTAGGGCAGGAGACCTGAAACCCTTGCAAAGGCTTGGCTTAGAAGGGGGAAGTAATAATTGGCCCAGCCTGGGACCAGAGGAGGTTTCTTCTCACTAGTGACCCTTTACCCATAAACCAAGGAAACAACACTTCGCTTCCTACCCTTTCAGAATCCCAAGATGTCTGAAACACTGGGCGGAGTGGATCTCCAGCCACCCCATCCTCCATGCATGGGAGCAGAGGTTTAGCCTAGAAATTGGGGGTTACCTTGGGCTTCTTACTTTCTCCCTACACCCTAAGTGTTGGGATCCCACTTCCACAGTGTGCTGCCTATCCTCTCACTTGGACATCTCATTGACCTTGGCCCCTGGGCTTCTGGCATCCACTGCCCCAAGCCATCTTCCTGCTGCTGTCAAAGTGACAGTTGTCAAAGGTTACTCCTGGTTGGGTCCCTCCCCGCCCCCAACATCTTCCAAGTGTCTTAAGGCACTGGAAATGCTGTCCACATTCAACCCAGATGTCCAAGGCCTTCACAGCTCTGCCCTGGCTTTTCTCCAGCACCTGTTTGTCCCCCAGGAGCATCGGCTGTTCAGGCTGACTCCTTCCCGCCCTCCCCCATTTACTGACTCTGCTTCTTTATTCATGTTATTTATAATCCCACAAATGACCCATCTGGACACCCCCTGAGAACTGGCCCCACCCCAAGCTAGTCTTTTGCTCATAATATTCTCTAGCAAGAATGAGTTTCCCCACCCCTTGGCCTGCAAGGTTCCCCAACCCCCCACTCCCACTTTCCAGTCTGTTTCCGACAGGCGCTAAAGGAAATGTTTCCCTGGCCCGTGTGTGGTACTGACTGCATGCCGCGTGGGGTGACTGCTCTGCAGTGCCCCATCAGGCCTGGGCCTCGCTGCCTCTCTGGGCCTTCGTCCTGTGTCAAATGGGGTAAGAGAAAATGGGGAAGTGGGAAGTTATGTGAGACAGGAAACAAGACTTGCCTCTCCTCTCTCAGCCCAGGGCCTCTGGGGCAGGAGAAGTTTATTTTCTTTGTTTATAAATTACCTAAAAACAGGCAGGAGCTGGTGGGGCCGGGGACCAGGGTATGGAAGGAGAGGGAGGAGAAGGGGAGCCAGGAAGTGTCTCGGCAGCCTAGGCCTGAAGGAGGGCAGTCTGTGGTGTGTGGGGGGCTGGTGTGAAATGGGCAGAATAAGAGGGAAGTTGGTGTTTTATACTCACGAAAGGATGAGTAGAGTGGGCAGGGGATACAAATCCTGACTCCTAAGGCAGGGAGGTAGGTCCCTGTCCTCCCAGAAGGGGGATTTTGATCCCAAAGACACAGGCCCCAGCAGACTTGGAGCTGGAGGAAGCTCCTAATTCATATTGAATTCAGTTACTTTCTTCTCCAGGAAGGCTGCAGCCCCAGGGACCCTCTGAGTTCTGCCCACCTGGACTGTTGGGGGCGGGAAGGACCTCAGCCAACCCCAGGATGTCATTTGCATTTGGGAATTTTTCATGTTATCTATTTATGAATATATATATCTTTATATCAAATCTATTTTTTAAAACGTGGAAAAGTTGCCTTTATGGAAACAGCAGAGCCAGACTGTACACATTCCTAAACCATTAAACAGTTTCCTCTAATGAGTTAACAGCACCCAAGACTGGTTCTCTTACCTTTGAGCCCAGAGCCGGCCCAGGTGGCCACCTCCCCACACATGGTCCCACACGCCCAGCTTCCCGACTAGTCTCCAGGTCCGGGGTGGGTGAGTGGGCCTACACTGCCTACTACTTGTCCGTTACTTGAAGCACTTTGCCCAAAACCAATGTGGTATTCCCCCAGGCAGAGAAGCAGTCACTGCCTAAGGAAGGAAGTTGAGTTGGGTCCCATCTCTGCTGGGGATACCTTTGTACCCTTGGGCAAGCAATTTTACCTCTCTGGAGCCAGGTTTCTTCACATGGTTTGTGTGGGGAGGTAGGTTGGGGAATACTGTTTGGTTATTGCCAGGGGCACCAGGCATCCTTCACACTTATACCACACTGCGAGGGAGGTGTTACTATCCTTCCAATGTCTTTTTCAGGTGAGCCAACAGACTCAGGGGATAGGAGTTCCTTTCTCAAGCCTTTCAGCCACAACAAAGTAGAGCTCTTATTCCAAGTCAGGATCTGGGAACCCCCATGAGGGCCAAACTGTTTTATTCACCACTACATTCTCAGTCCAGAGAATGGTTAGAGCCACATGGGTCCTCAAAGAACTACTGAGTGCCTGAATTGTATCTACTTCTGGTCACTCAAAATGAGACCTCTGCTGAAATGGAGGCTAGATAAGGACAGCAGAGCATGACTGCTAATGGAAGCCAGGTGGTACTGCATCCTTCCCTGCCAAACTCTGTTCCAAAATAAACTGACATCATGGGGCTCAGACCAACCTCCATTCAAATTCCTGGCCTGCCCTGACCAGTTGTGTGACCATGAGGAAGTCATTTCTCCACTCAGGGCCTTAGTTTCCTCAGATGTGGGACACTAATTCCTGTTCTGCCTGCACCTGGGGAAGCCACAATGAGATCCTGGTGAAGAGGGCCCTTGTAAACTAAAGGGCTGGAGCAGGGAGCTCCTGTTCCTGTCTCTATCCCAGGTGGTTTAGCCAGCTCAATTCTGTTGACTGAATGAAGTGAGCCTAGAGCCCTGGACAGTCCAGATGGTCCAGAGTCCAGGCACTTGCCAACCACCTATTCCAGGGAGAAGGAATGCCTGGTTGTCTGAATTTCCTGCTCTCACCAAATACAAGGCAGTCCCAAGCCCACATGCCCCTTGAAAAGAAGAAAACCATAACTGGGCCCATTTGAGCTGGGCACCCCAAACCCTTCCCAGAGATTCTGATGTGAGCCATGCTGTCCTGAGGACCCTCCATTGCCTCTGCCCACACCAGACACTGCCCAGACCCTGGGGCTAATTCACAGGACCAGTGCTGGATTTTAAAGCCAGGAGCCCAGAGGGACTTACTCAAAGCCCCCACTGAGTTTGCTACTGAGTCCTCCTACTCAGGCCAGGCCTGGGCTGGGTGCTGGATCCCAGAGCTGACTCTGACCCTGCCTGGCTTCCAGGGGATATGCTCCCAGAGCTCGGACCTCAACCCTCCTCTGTATCCTGCACACATTCACTGAGGGGCTTGGCTGGCGGGGGTGGGGGTGGGGGTGGGGAGCACCAGCACTTCCATAAGAGAAGCCAGGATGCAGGGTGCCCCTTCCCTAGTTATGTCCCCTCTCCTCATCCTCACCACTCTGAAGTCCCTCCTCTGGCACCTTCCCCACATGGCCACTCTGCACCTCACCCAGCCTCTATCTGACCTGGCACCTGCCTCTCTGGTCTCCACAGCTGGCTGCAGGCCAGGTCACCTTGTTCAGAACTCTGCACGGCTCCCTGCCACCTTCAGTTTCCCTCAAGAAGGGCCTCCAGAACCATCAACAGCCTGGCCACACTCTCCCCAATACTTGCCACCCACAGCCACACAGGGCTGTTATGTCCAGAATGTGCTGCTTCCAGGCAGGCAGACCATCCCCTACCCAGATGAAGAACTGAACCCCTACTGTGTAATGGGCTTCTCCAAGCAGGACTTCCTGTTCACGAATAGCCCAAGCTGGGGTCCTGACCCAAAGGACAGCCACCCGGTCCTGACACTGACTCCCAGACACTCCTAGGACCCCTCTGAGCATGGGGAAGGCCCCTTGCCATTGCCCCCAGAGGCTGCAGCCTTTGCTGTTGGTTCTCCCCATTAGAAAGAAAAGACCCAGCTCAAATGGCAGGTTTGGATCCAACTCATGCTTCCTGGGCATCCATGGTGTACTTTCACACAGGCCACCTCAGGGACACAGTGAGGATGGCTATGCCTACCTACCTCAGCTCCCAGACAGAATCTGGGACTGGTCACAGCCTTCCCACACTTGGGCTGTATGTTTTTGGACTCTCTCCCCTGCAGTGATTCTGAACCTCACGTTTCAATGCAACCATTGCCTCCGTACAGGGAGCCCAGGGAACAAGCTGCAGACATGGAGGTTTCTCCCATATATAAAAATCTTTTAATAAAAATATCTCTGCAGAACCAGTCAAAAAATAGAATTAGCAAACTCAACTTCCTGCCATCTGAGCAAGAGGGAATGAGCCAGGCCGAGTTGGCCATAAAGAACTGTGCCTTGCCCAAAAGGGACAGCTCTGGCTGGCTGCTGACACACGGGATTTAGGCTCAGGGTTGACAAATCTCATTTTTCAAGAGGAGTTACAAAGATGTCTTTTTAATAAAAACTACATTTTTTTAATGATGGTCACTAATTGATCACCCTCCCCACCCAATGAGAGTAGAAGGCTAAATAAAACATTTATAAGCAACCAGTTAGCAGCCCATTTCGCATATCAAGATAACAAAAAGTGAATTCATACAGTAGCAAAACGCGTACAAAGGTGATGGCTAAAGTGTTTAGCATGTAGACAGCCTGCCAGGGAGGCACAGGGCAGACTCCTCCCAACATTAGTAGATGAAGTCAGAAAGATAAGAGATGAATAAATGATCATAAGTAGCAGGAAGCCTGACAGCACTAGCCTGCCAGCCTGCAATCCAAGGACAGCAGAATCCAGCTGGGGCTGAAGGACTTCTAGCAGATTTCCAGACCCCAAGAATAGCCCTTGCTCGGCCCTAATATCCCAGGAGTCTTTTGGCCTCTTCGCTCTGGGCCTGCAGGGTCTCACTTGCATACTTCTGGAGGAGTTCCATCTTCTTCCTTCGAACAAGTGCCTCCTCAATCTGTGGATAGCAAGAGTAAAAGGCTCATGCTTCATTCCTCAGTAAGACCCTCCATGCCTTGCTGGAACCCAGCCAGGAGGGAGTACCTGAGGGGGATGTCATCGAGGAGCCCAATACCCAGAGCAGTCGCCAAGGTCCTGCTCTCTCCCACTGGAAGTATGTGAATAGTGTTTGTCACTTTTCTCTACAGCAAATGAAATCAACCCTGCCTTCTTTGGATTCCCCAACCTATTATGAGCACAGTGACCAGTGCCATGTGCTCAGGAGTCAGAGCTGCCCAAATGGATAGACAGAATAAAAAAACCCAGTAAAGCACTGTGTGGAGTCCTCTTTAGAGGCAAGGCCCCTGGCACTGGGGAAGCTCCACCTGCAAGGGCAGTTCACAGCCTCTACCCTACCTCTTGCTGCGATGGCACAGGGACATGAGCGATGAACTTCTGCTGCCCGTCTTCCCCTCCTTTCTCTTGGCTGCCTTCCTCGTCAGACTACAAGCAGAGAACAACCAAAACTCCGTGAGTAGGAGACCGTGAAATAAATGTTGGTAGTGCTATAAAATGCATTACTCTGCAGCTGATTAAAGGGGGGAAAAAAGGAATGAAGAAGTTCTGTATTCATCCAGAAACACAGCAAAGACATCAAGTGCAAAAATCAACAAAACATTTTGTGTATTATGCTACCTTATGTATTGAGAAAGAAAATAAAAACTAGTGACAGCAGTGAGGACTAGGTAGATGGAGGACAGAGCTATGAAAGAGCGTCTATACTATTTGTTTCTTGAACTTTATGAATATATTATTTATTTTTTAAAATTAAATTTAGAATCTGGTCAAGATGGCGGAGTAGGAACAGACTATGGTCATCTCCTCCCATGACGACATCAAAATTACAACTAAATTACAGAACAATCATTGAGAACCACCTGAAGACTATGTCAATAGAATTCCTGTAACTAAAAATATAAAGAAGCCACATAGAGAAGAGTATGAGGGGTAGAGATGCAGAACCGGCTGGCTCTCCACCCACAGTGTGGCGATTAAGAATAAGGAGGAATATCTCTGCTGCAGGGGTCCCCCCTGAGGAACGAGGGATCCTAGACCCAAACTGGGCTCCCCAGCCCCAGATACCAGTGCCGGAAAAGAGGAGTCAGCATAACAGCTGGCTGTGGAAACCAACAGCTATTACATCCAAGTGAGACAGAGGGCTGCAAGAGATGGAGGCACTCCTCTTGCAGAGCCTATGCATAGACCCACTTGCTCTGGGCTCCAGTGCTGAGGCAACAGCTCGAAAAGTGCCCAGGACATGTGGAAGGAACTAAATCGACAAGTTTCAAGACAAGTGCTCGAGGAGTAGGGATCGGGGCAGCTCTCTACAGGACAGAAGTGCTGGCAGGAGCCACTGTTTCCTCATTGACCCTTCCTCCCATCTAGTTGGCAGACACAGGTCGGTACTAAATATGAGATCTCCATTAACCTGGCTAACAAGGTTCTTGCCGCCCTGGTAATTCCCTGAAACCCTTCCCCAACCAACTAGCGCACCGGACCTGAGCCTCCTAAGGCAGCTCCAGATAAGCCTCATAGTGAAGTCTTTCCTAAAATCTCTTAAAAATATACAAACCCCAAAAAAGCAGTGACGAGCCTTGGCATGCCCTGTCCCTCTTGGAAAGCAGCCCAGAGCGGACATAAGCAGCAACTGGTCTCATGGGCAGCAACCAATCACATATTTTGAAAATCCTAAGAGGAAGCCCCAAACCACAGAAAAAGAAGCAGTGGCTAAACATGACCTGCACTGGAGCTCCTCTGAAGAGGCTCCAGAACCAACACACCTGATAGCCAGGTTAAGACCACACCACAGCATCACCCAAACAGCTCCACAAACCACACACCCGAAGGGCGCACTCAGCTGGCACCAGAGCCCTGCTAAAGTGACTCGAGCTCCATGGGGCCAGACCCCGTATAACATCTCACCTGCGACAGTCACGCGCACCCTCACAGCCAGTAAGCCTGACAGTCAGTCCCACCTACTGACATGCCAACAGCAACTGAGGCTAAACGACAAAAAAAAGAAAGGCACACACAAGGGAAAACCACAAAACACCCAGGTCAGCTGAACAGGGAGACTGCGCCATTGGGTCCCACAGGACACCTACTAAAGGCCACTCTACTAAGACTGGGAGATGTAGCAGACCTACCTAATACACAGAAACAAACACAGGGAGTCAGACAAAATGAGGAGACAAAGAAACATGTCCCAAGTGAAAGAACAAGATAAAACTCCAGAAAAAGAACTAAACGAAATGGAGACAAGCAATCTACCAAGTACAGAGCTCACCGATTATAGGGGAAGAATAGATGAATTCAGGGACAACTTCAACAAAGAGATAGCAAACATAAAAATGGAGACAGAAAACAAAAAAGAACCAGTCAGAAATGAAGACTACATTAGATAGGATCAACAGCATATTAGATGAAGCAGAGGATCAAATCAGCGATCTGGAAGCCAAGGTCATGGAAAACACCCAATCGGACAGCAAAAAAGAAAAGAAAAAAAGAAAATTAAGATAGTTTAAGGGACCTCTGGGACAACATCAAACATTCACATCATAGGGGCAGCAGAAAGAGAAGGGAGCGAGCAAGGGATTAAAAAACCGATCTGAAGAAATAATGACTGAAAACTGCCCTAACTTGGCAAAAGAAATAGACATAAAAGTCCAGCAAGCTCCGAGAGTCCCAAACAAGATGGACCCGAAGGGGCCCACACCAAGACACATCAAGACACATCATAATTAAAATGCCAAAAGTTAAATACAAAGAATCTTAAAAGCAGCAAGAGAAAAAGCCAGAAGAAATTAATACAAACTATTCAAAGTGATGAAAAGCAAGGACCTAAAACCAAAACCAATACTCTACCCAGCAAGGCTATCATTTGGAATCAAAGAACAAAGAGTTTCCAGACAAGAAAAAGCCAAAGAACTTCATTGCCACCAAACCGGTATTACTATTACAAGAACTGTTAAAGGGTCTTCTTCAAGAAGGGGGGGAGGGGAGAACATAAATATGAATAATAAAATGATAATAACTATATACCTCTCGATAATCATTTTAAATGTAAATGGATTAAATGCTTCAGTCAAAAAACAGAGAGTGGCTGATTGGATAAGAAAACAAGACCCACACAAGAGACCCATTCAGATCAAAAGACACACAGACTAAAAGTAAAGGGATTAAAAAGATATTTCCTGCAAATGGAAACCAAAAAAAGCTGGGGTAGCAATACTTATATCAGACAAAATAGACTTTAACAAAGGCTGTAACAAGAAACAA